AACGACGACAAGTTACAAAAACTGTTAGTCGCAAACAAGTTTTGAAACCTTTGTCCGATATTTTATTTTTACTTAGGACAAGATCAGGTTTTGGTAGTTATTTCTGTAAATCTAGTAAATACGTTTGTACTCCACACTAATGTCCGTTTAAAACCCCAAGGAGAAAATAATCTGACTGGTAAAGTTATAAAAACTTAGACCAAAATTACTTCATAAATTTTTGTTTCTAATACACGGGCAGAGATACTCGAGCCGCCCTCAGTTTTGAACTGATCGGCTGGAGAAAAGGCAGCCAGTCAACAGCCCCCAACGCCAATTTTGGCGTTACTCTAATCGAAGAGCAGGATGTGACAGTTACTCTTGAAACGCACCCACAGTCTCAAAGAGCAGAGCGCGATTTTGCAGCAAGAGGACGCAAAACATGGATCCGTCCCTCAGACTCTTATTCCTGTACATTTACAATTTACCCGGTCCGGCCTTTTGGTACCAAGCATTTCTAAATTTGTACAAAATCAATTTCTTGTTTTTTTTTCTGAAAAACGTAATCATTTAGAGAGAAATGCTGGTATCAAACTGATTCTTCATTATATAATTACAGTTTTATTTTATAATTATGATTTATTTTTCAACGTTTACGTCTTGAATTGTTTGTTGTTGTTTTTTTTTGGAAAAAAAAATGGTGGCCTGATAATGGCAAACCGTGTTCGACAGTAAAAAGTCAATTATATTAAGAAGTCTACAGGAAAATAAAAACATTAAGATATTGCTGTTCGAGTCGTTTGTAGTGAGCGCTTGAGGGTGAGCTGCGGTAGAGAGACAGCTAATAAAACCTTCATAAGGTTCAGACCAGAAATAAGAAATCTGATACGTTCTGAAAGAAGTCTGTGTCATCAGAATTGTTGCTAGGAGCAAGATGTCGGAAGAAGACAAAAGATGATTGATGTGAAGGCACGGAATCCTCCTTCAACTGATCATACTTAACCTCTTATTTCACTGTTCGATTTTCCTCATTCTACAGAACCCTCTTTCATAATGATCAAATTGTTTTTACTACTTCAGTGTTGTGATTGGTTTAGCACAATATTTTGGTTATTGTGATTGGATTAGCTCAATGTTTTGGTTATTGTGATTGGTTTAGCTCAATATTTTGGATATTGTGATTGGTTTAGCTCAATGTTTTGGTTATTGTGATTGGTTTAGCTCAATGTTTTGGTTATTGTGATTGGTTTAGCTCAATATTTTGGTTATTGTGATTGGTTTAGCTCAATGTTTTGGTTATTGTGATTGGTTTAGCTCAATGTTTTGGTTATTGTGATTGGTTTAGCTCAATATTTTGGTTATTGTGATTGGTTTAGCTCAATATTTTGGTTATTGTGATTGGTTTAGCTCAATATTTTGGTTATTGTGATTGGTTTATCTCAATGTTTTGGTTATTGTGATTGGTTTAGCTCAATATTTTGGTTATTGTGATTGGTTTATCTCAATATTTTGGTTATTGTGATTGGTTTAGTTCAATATTTTGGTTATTTGAAGAGGGCTCTTAACTCTTATATAACTAGATCTTCTGACAAACATACTTTTCTTGTGATTATCTCCAATAAACCTGCGTTACATAAATGTGCCAAAAACCAAAATATTAACAAAAATTCTTTCGAAATAAATGCAGTCTTTAAGTTGGGGGCCAGTCCCAGAGTTTGTGATTCGCGTTCCATTGCTATTAATTAAGTACTTTTAGAATTTACGTACAAAGTTACACAAGAAAAATTACACATAGCCGTATTTAACTTGGAAAATCTGCGCAGAGCTGACCTAAACCTAGAAAATCTGAGCATAGCCGTCCTTAACCTCAAAATTCTGCGCAGAGCCGTCCTTTACCCGAAAATCTGCGCATAGCTGTCCTTTACCCGAAAATCTGCGCATAGCCGTCATTAACCTCAAAATCTGCGCATAGCTGTCCTTAACCTGAAAAAATGAGCATAGCTGTCCTTAACCTGAAAATATGAGCATAGCTATCCTTAACCTGGAAAATTTGCGCATAACCCTCCTTAACCTAGAAAATCTGCGCATAGCTGTCCTTAACCTCAAAATCTGCGCATAGCTGTCCTTAACCTGAAAAAATGAGCATAGCTGTCCTTAACCTGAAAATATGAGCATAGCTATCCTTAACTTGGAAAATCTGCGCATAACCCTCCTTAACCTAGAAAATCTGCGCATAGTTGTCCTTAACGTGAAAAAAGGAGCATAGTCATCCTTAACCTTAAAATATGAGCATAGCTATCCTTAACCTAGAAAATCTGCGCATAGTTGTCCTTAACCTGAAAATCTGCGCATAGCTGTCCTTAACCTGGAAAATCTGCGAATAGCTGTCTTTAACCTAAAAAATCTGCGCATAGCTGTCCTTAACCTGGAAAATCTGCGAATAGCTGTCCTTAACCTAGAAAATCTGCGAATAGCTGTCCTTAACCTGAAAATATGAGCATAGCTGTCCTTAACCTAAAAAATCTGCGCATAGCTGTCCTTAACCTAAAAAATCTGCGCATAGCTGTCCTTAACCTAGAAAATCTGCGAATAGCTGTCCTTAACCTAAAAAATCTGCGCATAGCTGTCCTTAACCTGAAAATCTGAACAAAGCCGTTCTTAAGCTGGAACTAACAGACTAGAGGGAAGAAAGGCTGTCACAAGTGCCTACCGCCAACTCAGTATTTAGTTTCACAAACTCAGTATTTAGTTTGCCAACTTTGTATTTAGTTTCACAAACTCAGTATTTAGTTTGCCAACTCAGTGTTTAGTTTCACAAACTCAGTATTTAGTTTGCCAACTTTGTATTTAGTTTCACAAACTCAGTATTTAGTTTGCCAACTCAGTATTTAGTTTGCCAACTCAGTATTTAGTTTCATAAACTCAGTATTTAGTTTCACAAACTCAGTATTTAGTTTGCCAACTTTGTATTTAGTTTGCCAACTCAGTATTTAGTTTCACAAACTCAGTATTTAGTTTGCCAACTCAGTATTTAGTTTTGCCAACTTTGTATTTAGTTTCACAAACTCAGTATTTAGTTTCTCTCTAAATCCAAACTGATCCTTAGAAAAAAAAATCATTTAAGAAATTCACCGAGCTAGTTTAACTAGTTTTCTATTTATACCCTGACATTACCCTGTTAACATATCATCATACCCTGACTTTACCCTGTTAACATATCATCATACCCTGACTTTACCCTGTTAACATATCATCATACCCTG